GGGCACCGCGGCCGCCCGCAGGAGGGGGCCAGACCCCCGCAGCAGCACCAGCAGCACCAGCACCAGCAGCAGGGGAGAGAACCGGCCTTTCCACAACCTCCCCGGGTTAATCTCCCCAGGAGACCCACCGCCTGCCTCCGAGCAAACCCACCTCAAAGGGTCCCGCATCCCTTCCCGCATCGGTTCATCACTCTTTATAGCACGGGAGCACGGTAATGATACAATACTTATTAGTTCTCATGGCACACCGCGATGTGATGAGGTAGTGGAGTTTTATTGCAGACTCCGATATTGTTCGTGCTGAAGTAAAACAAACAGCCCAGCCCTGGAGAGAAGCACTTTGCTTTTAGAGCAGTCCCCGAGGGATAAAGAGCAGCTTTATCCCTGGGATGAGCAAGGTAGCACAGCACCCCAGGCTCTGAGACCCTCCCAGCCCCGGCTGGTGTCACAGGTCAGTCACTGCAGCCAGAGGGACTCCAGGACTCCTGGATCGATCGCCAAGCAGAAACAGAGCGGCTTTGCCAAGTTTTACTGTGACTGGAGATCTGTTAGTGTGGGTGTCAGTGCTCAGTCAAGTTCTGTTTTACCTGAATGCTTGATGCATGTAAGAACATCATGAAAACCATACCTGGGTGCCCCCCTTTGGCTAGGACATCTCATGCCCATGAATAAATATTATTTACCTGGCACCTGGGTCAGCACTGGCCAGGCATGAATTTTGTGACACATAGTGTGCTATGAGCTCCCTCCTGGGCAAAGCCAAACACCCCTGGCCTCATACCCATGTGTTTCAATATTCAACACACGAGAAGCTGCATCAGTATAAACCTGGATTTTCACGCACTGTAGGTCAAGAGTGAAGTAGGCGCTCCCTTGCACCCCTAAATGCTCCCTCGAGGTGCAGGCAGGAGCAGGCAGCCTGGCACAGGCAGTGGGATGGAGAGAAGTGAGTTAACCTGGTACTGGCACTGTGGCCAGACCCTCCCTTGGGTTTTGGTGGAGGGACTAAGCGCTGCACAGGTGTTTCTGTGTGGTGAAGCTGTCTGGGTGTTGGAGGGTGAGGTGGTGTGAAGGTACCCATAGGTGGGGGTGGGAGGCGGCTCTGCAGAGCAAAGTGTGGGTGCCAGGGAAGAGCTGTGGCTTGGAAAGTCACTGACTCCTCAGCATGGAGGCAGCTCAGGGACAAGGAAGAAAATCTTTTAGATTACCATAAAATAAAGGAGATAACTAATATTTTTCAGCAAAACCCCAAAGAAGGCAGTCCCATAGCTTGAACAAGCAGCAACACTGGCCAACCCTGCTGCTGCCAGCTGCATCGTAGAGCTCATCATCCATCTGCTCCGAAAGCTTTGCTTTCCTTGCCGTCTTCTTGGTGTCCTTGAGAGCCAGATGGACTGGCTGCCAGTGACAGAGCTCCTGCAGACTGGGAGCCAAAGTGGCCAGAGGCACTCGGTCATCTGAGCCACGGCTATGGGAGCTGAGCCGCGGGGTGCAGGGGCTGAGCCTGGGGTGTGTGTGTGTGACACAGAGGTGCACTCCTTCCACCACTACAGGCGAGCGCTCTGGTGCCAGCAGCCGCCTCTTGCTTGTGGTTCGGATTTTGGCAGCTCCTCAGGAGAAACACGGGGCTCTACACGTGGGATGGGGACTTAGGCTGGCAAAGAACCTGTGTATTTGCTGCTCTAAAAGCAGCTGGTGCTTGAAGTTGGGCAGGCACTAATAATCTCCCCGGCTTTCGCTGGTGCAGGGGAGTCTCCCTGGAGCCTCCTCTGGGGCTGAGCAGTGCCCTGACACCAGAGTCACTGCAGGATGGTTTGGGAAGCAGGAGGAAGCATCAACTGAACCATTTATGTTTGCAAAGCACTTCATTTCTTTGTCCTGGGTCTATCCGTGAAGCAGCACCTGGACTACAAATCATCCCAGTGGCATGGGCAGGGACCCAGGCAGCAGGAGCAGGCAAGGAGCTGACAGGGAAATCAGGGGAGACCAGAACGCCACTCTGATCTCAGTGGCCTTTCTTCTCCCTCTCCTTATTTGTCTCTGAAGGGGATTTTCAAACCCTTCAAGATGGCCTCAAGTGGTTTCCAAGGCGACGGTGCTAGAGTCATCACTGCCATGGAAACCCTCTCTTTGGCATCATATAAATATTTCCCTTGAAGGAGGCTGGATGAGTGGGCGATGCACTATTTTCTAGCACTCCCTGGCTGCAACAGGGCAACCTCCAGGAGATGGGAGGGAGCTTGGGAGGTTAAAATTAGCTTGCCATGCCAGCTGGCAAGGGAAAGAGGTGACTGCTGATGTTTCAGCCC